TCAAATAATGCTGAATGTTCATCAGGTTTTACACAAAGGTTTTCACAATTGTGTACAAATTGAATGCAATGATTTCAAACACTTCCGTGTTATTTACAATTAAATGAAAATATATGTAGAGAGTAAACTACTACGCAATTTATATCAAATGCAGTTAGTTAACTTAAGAGTGTTTTTTACTTAAGTACATTTTATATGTAATTTCATAATTACTTCTGCTTTCTTTAAAATACTGTATGGTTAAAGTGTACTGCTGAAAGTAATGACAAGCATTTGAAATATACTTTCATATTATTTCCATTAAAATGTGTATGTCTTGTATTTAAATATATATGCAATTACACATTTGTTATGATGAAGCAATGTAGTAGACATAATATTAATTTTAAATGTAATAATTCAAACTATAATCAAGTACTTGTGCTTTATGTTAGTCAACACATCAAAATAACTATTTATTTAAAGCATGACAAAATACTTTAAAGTAAAATGTTTAATTTTACATTATTACAAAGTGCACTTTTTAAAAGTTTACTTAAGAGGATGCTCTTAATGTACATTTAAGTGGCCTTTTATTTCATTAATATTATATTACCTGCAACTAGTTTTTTTTGTGAATATATTTTCAAGTACAATACAATTGCCCATTTAATACAATTAAGTTAACTTCTTTTTCATAAGGGCATGCATCTCTAGTGCTGCTGTCAATAACATAAAAGGAAGACAAACCAAATAGTAAGCCATTCTTAAAAATCATGTATATTTTCAACTTGAATTTTGCATTTTACATTTATGCTGATTATAGAATGAAAACAAATATATTGAATTGTATTTTAAATTAAATAGGTAACATGCATTGGCTCTCTATAATTACCTCTATAATTATGTGAATATATGTATGTATGTTCCTAAATAAAACGTTTTTATCTATGACAATTAACATCACTTGAGAGAGAGTGAGAGAAAAGAGTGCCGTGAGAGAAAAGAGTGACGAGAGAGAAAGAGAGAGAGAGAGAGAGAAAGAGAGAGAGAGAGAGCGAGCAATGGAGAAAGGAAGTGTTGCTCAACCCAAAACTTCTGGCGAGAAAAACGTGAAGTGAGATGCTCATGTGGTGCAACTGCGGTTTGCATCACCAAATAAACCTCATCATTTCTACTCACTGTAAACTATATATGTCACCTTACACAACAGCTAGTCTGAATGTGTGGCATCTTCTGTTAAACGATGGTCATATGATTAACTCAACATCCAGTGACACAATGATGCATGTCTAAAACTTCATGTCTTCACAGCAACTGAAATTGCTGAGTGTCATTAGAATGGATATTCCCTCACAAAAGGAGAGACAACGAAAAAATGTTTTGTAGTATTCGGATAACCCAGGTTAGACAGACTGAAAGAAAGTAAAATCAATAAACACTGGGAATGTACGAGAACAATCCAGAGGATCTTTTTATTGTTCAATATATTTTAGTTGTTGCTCAAAACAAATTGTGAGCCATGTGCTAAAACTGAATTTCACTTACCATGTTTGCCTGTCATTTTCTGACTTGCAGGTCAGAAATGTTTTGGATAACTGTAAATAAATGAATAAATAAATAAGCATTTATTTACATGATTATTAAACCTCTTCTGATTCCCACAAGCAGCAGGAAATGCAGAAAATTATAAAAGAAGAAAATTCAAGTTTGTTCAGCAATATATCAACCACAACATGAAAACCACAGACAGGTGACGTGAATAACATTGATTATATTGTTACAATGGCACCTATCAAGGGGTGGGATATATTAGGCAGTACGTGAACGGTCAGCTCTTGAATTTCATGTGTTGGAAGCAGGAAAAATGGGCATGCAAAAAGACCCGAGTGACTCGGACAAGGACCAAACAGTGATGGCTTTACGACTGGGTCAGAGCATCTACAAAACAGCAAGTTCCTGGAATGCAGTGATTAGTACCAAAAGTAGTGCAAAAAGGACAACCAGTAAACTGGTGCCAGGGTCATGGGCATTCATGTGGATGTTACTTTGACACATACCACCTACCTACCTACACCATGTCCACTGCTTCATGGTAATGGTGTTCCCTGATGTCAGTGGCCTCTTTCAGCAGGATAATGCACCCTGTCATACTGCAAAAATTGTGCAGGAATGGTAACAGGAACTTTGACAAAGAGTTCAAGGTGTTGCTTGGCCTCCAAATTCCCCAGATCTCAATCCGATTGTGCATCTATGGGATGTTCTGGACTAACAAATCCAATCCATGGAGGCCCCAACAGGATAAAAGATGTGCTATTGCAAATAAATGTACAGGGGATACAGGGGTGCAATGCATTAGTTCTAGAGCAAGTGAAACAATGATTTTAGTGTGTTTTTAATACAGATGTTTCGAATTTACAGATATTGTGGTCTCCTTATTTAAGAAGGTACTTTTTGTGAATTTATGCCCCAGCTGGTCATGGGGCAAAACAGAATTTTTATTTTCATGTAGAAAGCAGCTGTTGAGTAAGACAACGTCAGAGAGAGACAGAGACTAGCTCATGCAAGGAAGCATGGGAGGGTCTTCCCCATAGGGACTGTTGTGTGAGTTTCCATGTCTTCATTGGTTGTAAAATGTCATGCAACTACAATCTACACATTAATTTATGCTTTATTATACTTTTATCATTTTGTCGACCAAAACATTTTCTGCTACAGTTTTTTTTTCTGCAATGCATCTGAAAACACTCCCTGATGTCAGATATAAAACTCTATTTTGAGAGGGTATCATTTGTTTTAAATATACAGAACTAATATTGAATATCTTTTAACTGATGCTTTGAAATGAGTTTTGCATATCATTAACTTATTTACATTCTATCAAAAGCATCTATACATCCTAATTTAGGATAGCTCGTTTGTCTCTTTTAACAGTTTTTGTCAGTGTCTCTACATTTGTTTATTTATTTGTTTTTTGTTTAGTCAGTTTAATTGTCATTTCGTTGTAACACCATCAGTTTAAGCAATTGGAAATGAGTCACAGTGAAATCAGTGAAAGCACCATCTCTCTGAGGGACAGCAGAAGTTGACGTCTCTGGAAAAAAATATAAAGAAATAAAAAGATAGGCCTATATATCCAATACATGACAATACAGCACAATTTTCAAGACTATACTGTACTTCTTGGAATTGTTTGACTAGCTACAGGCGTACTGAAAAAGAAGAACTAACACTGGCATTCCCAAAAAGAGCGAAACCGAAACGATAAGAGCGAATATAAGATGTTATCTCCGGTGCATCATCATCTCAAATCACTGCTGGCGACTGAGCAATCAAGTGCTGATTTTCAAACAGAGGTAAGAGACGATATCACGTACCAGATTCAAAGGGGCTTAACTGTAAGCATAATATCCTGTTAGTTATTATAAATAGTTCTACTGAGGTCAGTGACGGCGCTGTATCGTCCTTCTGTAGGCTATATGCAATCCATTACATAGTCACTAAGGTTGTGATGTGGTGTTCGTTTTAATGTTTTATTTAAGTTTTAAGTATGCACAGTTCTGATTATGCATATGTATTGTGTTGTTAATGCTGAGCGCACGGGTGCTGTTTGCACATATCTCACACAGTAACCTCCGCGTCATGTGAGCGCAGTTTCTTGCATTATAGGCTACATTTAATCCAGTACATAATAATCACTAAGATTGTGATGTGGTGTTCGTTTTAATGTTTTATTTAAGTGTTAAGTATGCACAGTTCTGAGTATGCATACAAATGTATTCTGTTGTTAATGCTAAACGCATGGGTGCTGTCCAGTTCTGAAGTCTTTCCTTTGTATGTCAAAAGTTTTTGTCGTTGTTTTATGGTCACTTGTATTAAGATTATATCTATTTTGATGAATTTGCCTATTCGTTGGCAAAATATAAATTAAAACTACACTTCTGTTGAATATGGTGTGTACCATAGCTGCTTTTATTTAAAAAAAAAAAACGACAGTTTCTTTATGAAGTAACTCTGACGTCATCAATATCATTTATTTTCTTAGCACCCCCACATATTGGTCTAGCCCCCCCTTAGCACC